AACAACTCGTAGTTGTAAAAAAAAAAAATTCTACTCACCTCTCACTTTCTTTATGGTGGCACAGTAATACCTAGTGATTAATTCAAGTACATAAATATTGAAGAAGAATAATTAAAGGGACCTTCAAAGACTTGAGAAAAACAGCTGTCCAAACATCTTCATATAGTATAGATTTTATTTTTATTTTTATATATTTATTATATTATTGTTGTACTGGTGCTACATTGTGACATTTACAAAAGTGCTTAAAATATATCTTAGTTAAATTCATACCCTCCATCATTCTCCTTTATCCCTCCTTAGCATAGATTTTAAAAAGTGAGAAACTTTAGTTTTAGCTGCAATATATAAAGAACATGGAAATCAACATTCTCAAACTTATAATAAGAACAAGATGAATAAATAGCTTTTCTTGGACATTAAGGCCATAGGACAAACTTCTACCACAAAATCTGGAGAAATGGTTAAATTCAGAGTTAAAGTTGGTAGCTACTTACTTGGAACACAATCATTGCAGTAATGAACAGGCAAGGACACTTACGATTAATTTTGATTAATTGTTTGAAGCTGAGTGAGAACCAGCAGGACAGTAAGAAATTCAGGGAGTCAAAGTCCTACAAGAACTTTTGTCCTTTAGGAAACCCACTCAGTTTTCAAGGTGAAGAGCGAAGAAGTATCCCTTCTGGATGTGGCAGAAGAAAGGAAAGTGCAACCATTTTTATGTACACCCAGAGAATCCTCCATAACAACTGACTACTTTTAATGGAGACAGACTACCAGAGTCTTATTCCACCTGGGGCGTGGCATTTCTTCAATTCAATCCCATCTAGCATTCCCGATTCACCTTGGGAGGGAATAAAATAAGAAATACTTGTGAGGTCACAGACCAGAGGAAAATATCCAATTCTAGGAAATATCCAAGTGTACAGTAATCTATTCTTCCTACCTCACCTAAGAGGGTAAACACCAATAACTGAGAAGCACTTGTGGGTGTCACAAACCAGGACAAACACTCACTAAAACATTAACACCTAAAATAGGACCATGGAATGCTTTTTCTTCCCCCTCTCCCTTTCTACCACAGCAATAAGACTCCTGTGTCAACAGCATGATATTTAAACTGAAAGAACTGCAAATATCAGACCTTATTTAAAAACCTGATGATAACAGAGTAGACAAAAACAAGGACATAAGAAGAAAATTTAGCTATAGCAAACAATAAACACAGTTTAACAACTAATCAGAATAAATATTTATATAACTCAGTTTCTTTAATCACTACATCAGACTGGTCTTTCACCAAAAAAATGTACATAAGGCATACTAAGAGACAAGAAAACAGTATCAAGAGATAGGCAAAGGTCAACATAGATGACAGAGATTTTGGAATTATCTGATTGGTAATTTAAAACAACTATACTTAATATACTAAGTGATCTCATGGAAAAAGTGAACAACATGCAAGAACAGATAAGTAATATAAGCATAGAGATGGGAAATTCTAAGAATCAAAATGAAATGCTAGAAATAAAAAAATACTGCAATAGAAATGAAGAATTCCTTTGATGGGTTCCTCAGTAGACTGGACACAGCAGAATATAGAATCAATAATCTTGAAGAAATGTCAATAAAAACTTCCAAAACAATGCAAAAAGGTAAACAAAAGAGCAAGATTAAATAGAATATCCAAGATCTGTGAGGAAATTACAAAAGACATAACATGCATTAAAGGAAATACTAGAAAGAAGAAAAGGAACAGATGATATATTTGAAGTAATAAAGACTGAGTATTTTTGAAAATTAATGGCAAAACCAAACTACTGATCTGGGAAACAGAGAACATGAAGCATGATAAAAACTAGAAAATCTATACCTAGGCATATTACATTCCAATTGCAAAAATCAAAGACAGAAAATGCTAAAAGATACCAGAGAAAATATTCACATTATGTACAGAGGAAAAGGGATAAGAATTATACTGATTCAGTTTCAGAAACCATGCAAGCAAAAATATTGTGGAGTGAAGCATTTAAGGTATTAAAGCCAAAAGCACCCGCCTAGAATCCTGATGAGTTAAATATCATCTTTAAATTCCGAGATCAAAACTTATCTGAGCTGGTTTTCTCATGCGTTACATAAAAGCAATAGTACATTCTGATATTAGTCCATACTTTGTAACCATGAGCTAAAATACAGAAAGAACTTAGAATAAGGCCTTTCTCAATTCAGTAGATATTCATCACACATAGTCCATGTTTTCTAAATGAATTTAGAAACAAATTGCCCAACAGATATTTTAGTCTCACAGTAAAACCTGTGAGTTTTGGGGGGAATCACTCCTGTGTAGGCAAACATCATGAGAGCAAGGTGCCAACAACTTCAGAATTACCAGAGAAACTTGTGCAGGCATCATTTTCAAATATCTCTAAACATTCAAATGTCTCTAAAGACATTTTTGCAGTTTTTTAATTAAAAAACTATAAGCGGATATAAACTTCATGAGAATAAGTATTTTTTTCTGTTTCACTTCTACTATATCCCCTGCCTGGACAAAGTAGATACTCAATATGCACTTCTTGAATAAGTGAAAGACACCAGCAACTTTACGAAAGATGAGGAACCTTAAGGGAAGGCAAAAATATTCACACACTTGCACAGATCCCATCATAGCACAGATTCCATTTCCCAAACCAGATATTCACTTAAGAGACTATACTGTTGAACAAAGAAGAAAAAAAAAAACACCATTCAGTTAAAACCATTGAAACAGCTGAGTAAAAGTGGTCTTCCTCTGATAGACAACATCTCTAGATATCATATAAAATCATTCTTAGATGTTTTCTTCCTATCATCTAAATACTGTGCAGTTAAAAGTAAATACCTGATAAAGGTTAATGTGGAAATATATAAAAATTCATGATGAGAATAAGGCTCCCCTTACATCCAGGGAAATATAAGCGGTTTTTGGCAAAAGGGACATTCTCCAAGATGAGCCTTTCTTTAGCTAAAAGATAGAGGATTACAAAAGGGAATGGTTGTAGAAGTGAGAGATGGTTCCAAAATAGATCCTCCCGAAGCACAGGTAAAAAACAGGTAAGGGAATAGACCTTACCAGGATATGAACATATTTGTTTCCTACTACACTATAACAAATCACAATCTTCCCTCAATATCCACAAGAGATTGGTTCCAAAAACTCCTTGGATGACACTCTATGGATCTTCAAGTCCCTTATACAAAAGAGCATAAAATTTCCATTTGACCTACACATATTAAATCGTGTGTAACTTACTTATAATAGCTAATACAATGTAGATGCTCTGCAAATCATTACACGGTAATTTTAGTGATTAATAATAAGGAAAAAGTATTCTCAGTACAGAAGCATTTTAATCAAATCTTTTCATCCAAATTACATTGAATTCACAGATGTGGAACTTGTGGATACAAGGCCAACTGTATTTCAAATGTAGTGGCTTAAAATAACACAATTATTATCCTACCTGCAGTCAAGGAAGATGTGAATTCAGAAAAGGTCTCACTACACAAAAACCAAGGAGTTGTGAGAGCTGCTTTACTTTTGGGGTAGCTAGGGAGTAAAGCTGTTTCTTTGCCTTTTCCAGCTTCTGGAGACAAGCATACATTCCTTGACTCCTAGCATTCCTACATCTTCAAAGCAATTAAGGGTCTGTCTAGGCTTTGTCATGGTGCTTCCCTTGGACACTGATGGCTCTTCTGCTTCCCTCAGCCACATCTAAACTACACTTGCAATTACATTGGCCAAGATAAATCAGCATGATTTTACGTTAAATCCAAACGATTAGCAAAGTATTCCATCTGCAACCTCAGTTCCACTTAGCCAGTTAACATAATATTGGAGAGCATAATCTGAAACACGAAAAGGTGTTAAAATGAGTTTTAAAATAGACAGCAGTAACAGCATCAAGTTTGTGCTTAACCCCATTGCTGTGTTTGTCCCATGTGCCACACATGGAAAGGAGGGAATCAAGAGCAGAGGAAGGGTGTAAGCAGAGTTGATGGGAGAGGATTCAAAGACAGCCTGGTTTCTGTCTTGATGAAGTGGGTCCTTCCTTGAGAATGACAAGTGAATGTAGGCAGGTGGTTAGGACTGAGATTCACTCTGATCCAAACCCTGCCACATTTCCACACTCTGCCACATTTCTACACTGGCAAATATCATTAGGGGCCTGGACATGATGGCGAGGAAAGACAGTGGCCAGGAAGCCAGAACAGGCCCTACCTGACACCTGACACTAGGCTATGTATCAGCAGAGATAGATGACTGTATGAGCCCCTGTGTGTCCTGACAGAGAAAAGCCCTCTTTTCTGGGCAAGAGTGGGGACAGCGCAATGACCAAATGAGTTCCCACTGGGAATGAGAAAAGCTCAGCATGGCAGAAGGAATGACACTTGGCACAGACCAATGGTTGGTTTCCTGAGACTACAGGTGCAGGCCAGCCTTCCTTTGGAAGAGGAGCAGAGGTGAGGCCTGTAATGGGGGCCCCCACCTCAGTCCCCTTAAGTGCCTTCCTCCCCTTCATGGCTCCATGAAGCAATGGAAGAAAAACATGGGAGAAGCCCCTAGAGACCCCTTGTTGCTGTGTTGTGAGGTCACCTGGCCCTCTCAGCCTGCAGTGCTGACACCGTTTCTCCCGGTAGCATCCGGGAAGGAGCGGGAGCAGGCGGGGTAATAGAGGGGAGGGGACAGGCAGTGCGCAGTGTGGGGTGCACCGCATCAAGGGGCGAGTAGGTATCCATCCGCTGCTCCCTCCAGCGCAGCAATTCCAGACCTCCCGATATCGGTTCCCCCCTCCCCTCCCCCACAGCTCAGCCGCTGGCCCTGAGTCCCCTCCTGGCCACGCACCATAGCGGTGGCAGAAAGGTGGGGGTGGTCGCCAAGTTAGGGCAGGCGGTCGGGGGTCTTACTGAGGCAAACCGGCAGGAGCCCGCCCCTCAGACTGGGGCTCGTCCCGGCCCCGCCCACTCCGGGTCGGAACTATGGTGGGCATGGGAGGGGGCGTCGAGCCCATTCGCGCCGTATCCCTCCGCCCCCCTTCCCGACACCCTCGAGGCGAGCGGTTCTTGCCGCATCCTGCGCAGCCCCTGCCGGCTTTGGTGCAGAGGCGTGGGGGCGGGGCGCCTCGTTGCCATTCCGATCGCGCGGAAAGCGGTGGGAGTCTGAGCAAGGAGCGGCGGGAGGAGAGGAGAGCGCAGGAGAGCAGGGGGAGCCCGTCTCCCTGGGCCTTGAGCCTGAAAAGGCAAGTGGGGGCGTGCGGGGGGCGCGGGGTGGTCTCCCACTGCCGGCCGGCTGACCGCCTGTCCCCCAGACTCCAACAGCTCCACGCGGAGGAGGCGAGCGGGTCGGAACGGATCCGCCAGAGAGGTGCGCAGTGCCGGGGACCCCTGGCGACGAGGAGGCTGTGAGCGGCGCGGGTCTGGCCGGGCCAAGGGCGGAGCGGGGTGGGCAGAGCGGCTCCTTCAGATGGTATGGAGGCCAGCCGCGCCGACCGCCTTCCAGCCCGCTTCCCAGCTGCCCGCGCCCCGCCCTCGATCGTGTCTGTGCCCTGAGAGGGTTGTGGGGGAGGCTGCTGCGGAAGAAATGGCGGCACGGGAGCTGGAGCGGGTAGGGGGGCGCTGTGGGAGGCCGCTAGGTCTGGGACAGAGGCGGGCATCTGAGCTCAACTGGTGAAGAGTGGTCGCCTTCCCTACTCGGGCCCTAGTTCTGAAAAGGGGTCTGTTGGGGCCCGGTGTCCTGGGTGCTGTCCTTTCCCACAGGCTCCTGCTTGATGTCTAAGTCTTCTGTCTGCGCAGTATCTGACGTATTCTGACAGCCCAGAGTGGGCCATCTCTAGAGCAGAGGCTTGGGAAAAAGGAGCAGGAAAGTGTCCTGGATTTCTGGAGGTGTGTGGAGATGGAGGGTGGGCATCAGGCAATGTCTGGAGACACGAAAGGGATGGAGTGACTGATCAGACCAGGTCAGGCTTCTGGTAGTGCCTTCTAATCTAACTGCATTCTAGGTACTTTCCGTACCTTCCTTCCCCGTCTTCCCAAATCTAGGAGCTGAAAAGATGAGTTGTGGGGAGGGGGTGATGACGGAGTGTTAAGTACAGGGACCACTTCATAACCTGTTTTCTAGAATATACGGTGCCCTTCCCCCATTTTATGCTGGGAAGGACAAGGGGATGTGGCGCACCTAGTGGTGAATCCTCAGAATTGGAGAAGGAAGCAATGGGAAGAGTGTGACGTCAAGAGGTGTTGTTACTTCTGGATCCCTGCAACAGGGCCTGAAGAAAACAAGCATATCCCACCAGCAGGAGCCAAAATATTGAGAGACAGATAGCATGGGGACTCTTATCTCCATATTGGTGTCGGTCTGTCCTCCAAGCTTAGCTGCTACCATCATTTCCTGACTGCCTCATGTTTTCATCTGTCCATAGGTCTGCTTTAAGGCTCGTCAGTTCTGCATGAAAGGAAAAGCCGAGGAGGAGACTGTCTCAAATCTCTGGAGGTTAGTGAGAAAGGGGGCAATGTAGGGCACAACTACTGAGGAAAAGCATGGCAAGTGGTTTTGATCTATTGGAGTACAGGACCACTTCTCCTCCTCTCCAGTAATTTGCTCACTGCCACAGCATTCCTTGTCTGTTTCCTGTCAGAGATACTAGGACTATTGAGATAGGTATAGGTTGTGCTGTGATCAGGAAAAGATCCAAGAGCAAGGACCAGGTGACAGGAAACTAAACAGATTGCACCCTTTATGTGTGAGATAGCTGCTATACTTGCCTTTAGGACCTGTGTGTGTGCCTATCTACCAAGCACTTGGACTGCATTCTCTCCTGTATGTGTGTCTGTAGGACCCCTGAAGTCTGCTGTGGGGCTTAACATCACTTGAACACAGAGAGGAGGAAGAAATTGCAGCGCATCAGTGAAGGTTTGTATGGTTGTGGTTTCACTTTTGTGGGGGTGGTAGAGACCAATCACTGCTGTAGGAGTCCAGGGGTGATTAGGGTCCAGGCTGGGTATTCCTCTGCTTCTCCATTGCCTATGTTTTCTCACAGCCCAGCTGCCCTACCTTTCATTCAATACTAGTCTCTGTGTATGTTTCTGCATGACAAAAGGCAACACAATTTGATGAGCCTGAATTCCTCATTTAATTATCTCTCCTTAGATCCACGTGCAGTGTCAGGTCCTGTGGTATTGGAGTTGCTGCTAAATAACCACTCTCATCTGGTCTGCACCCACCCAGGAACCATCCATCCTTCCCCAGCCTGGTTGTGCTTCTTCTGCACTTTATCTGTATTATTGACTGAGACTGTGCTTGGGGTGAAGCATCATTGATTGCTGGATTGGTGATTTACTCTAATGCTTTATTTCCTACTTTATCTCCTGGATCATCGAAAGATCAAAGTGTGAAGATACTAATCTGTGCCATAGCTTTTGTTGAGGAAGAAACTGTGGTAGGCGTACTTAATTGAATCTTTTTCTAACTTGTACCATGACTGGGGCTGAGATTGAACCAGGTGCGCAGGCTAAGCCTGAAAAGAAGCCTAGAGAAGAGATTGTGGGTGGGGCTGAGCGAGAACATGAAGTCCCTCTGGTGGTCAGACCCAAGGTTAGGACCCAGGCTCAGGTAACAACGGGGGCAAGGCCCAAAACTGAGACCAAGTCTGTGTCTGGGACAAGGCTCAAATCTGAGACCCAGGCAATGGCTGGGGCAAGGCCCAAAACTGAGGCCCAGGCAGTGACTGGGGCAAGGCCCAAAACTGATGCCAGGGCTGTAGGTGGTGCACGTCCTAAGACTGAGGCCAAGCCAATCCCTGGGGCACGGCCTAAGGATGATGCCCAAGCATGGGCCCAGAGTGAGTTTGGAGCTGAGGCAATATCAGCTGAGGGAGCATCCCAGACTAATGCTGTCACCTGGCCTCTGGTCAGTGGTGAGTCTGGGTCAGTTACAAAATCTAAGGGCCTCTGTGTGGATAGAGAATTGGTCAGTGTGGACACTGAAACCTTTCCTAGCACGCAGAGCCAAACTGTAATCCAACCTTGGTTTGGACCAGGGGAGGAGACAAATACAGGGTCTTGGTGCTATCCCAGACCCAGAGCTAGAGAGGAGGCCTCTAATGAGTCTGGATTTTGGTCAGCAGATGAGACCTCTACTGTGTCTTCTTTCTGGACTGGAGAGGAGACCAGTATCAGATCATGGCCTAGGGAAGAGGCCAATACTAGGTCCAGGCACAGGGCTAAACATCAGACTAATACCAGGTCCAGGCCCAGATCCAAACAAGAGCCCTATATTGATTCCTGGTCTGGGTCTGAGGATGAGGCTGGCAACCCATTCTGCTTTTGGACTGGAGAAAATACCAATAACTTGTTCAGGCCCAGAGTTAGAGAAGAGACAAATATTAGATCTAAACTCAGGACAAAGAGAGATGACTATTTTGAATCTGAGTCTGAAGACGAGTTTTATAAGGAGTCATGGTTTTTGCCTGGAGAAGAGGCCAATAGTAGATTCAGGTGCAAAAACAAGGAAGAGTCTAATAACATCTTGAAACCCAGGGCCCGGAAAGATGTTAAAAATGGTGACAGGGCCAAACAAGAGCCCAGGTTTGAGGAAGAAGTCATTATTGGGTCCTGGTTCTGGGCAGAAAAAGAAGCCGGTTTGGAGGCTGGGGCTTCAGCAATCTGTGAATCTGAGCCAGGGGCTGAGGAGGGGGCCATTGGTGGATCCTTGTTCTGGACTGAGGATAAGTCCAGTTTGGGGGCTGTGGCCAGAGAAGAAGCCAGGCCTGAATCTGAAGAAGAGGCCATATTTGGTTCCTGGTTCTGGGATAGAGATGAGGCCTGCTTTGACCTAAATCCTAGTCCTGTGTACAAGGCAAATTGCAGGTTCAGAGATTCAGCTGAGGAGGAAGTTAATGAATCATCCAGGCCCCAAACATGGGAAGAGGTCACTGTTGAATTCAAACCTGGTCCTTGTCATGGGGTTGGCTTTCCATCCACAAACCCCTTTAGAATTCCTGAAGGGTCTTCTGAAAATATTGTGGCAAAGCCCAAGAATGTGGAGCTTAACCCAGAAGGGGAAGAGCAGGAGTCTTTGCTGCAGCCTGATCAGCCTGAACCTGAGTTCCCATTTCAGTATGATCCCTCCTACCGGTCAGTCCGGGAAATTCGAGAGCATCTTAGGGCCAGAGAGAGTGCAGAGCCTGAGAACTGGTCTTGCAGCTGCATTCAGTGTGAGCTTAAAATTGGTTCTGAAGAGTTCGAAGAACTCCTTTTATTAATGGACAAAATTCGGGATCCCTTTATTCATGAAATATCTAAAATTGCAATGGGTATGAGAAGTGCTTCTCAATTTACCCGAGATTTCATTCGTGATTCTGGTGTTGTCTCACTTATTGAAACCCTGTTGAATTATCCATCCTCTCGAGTTAGGACAAGTTTTTTGGAAAATATGATTCACATAGCTCCACCTTATCCAAATCTAAACATGATTGAAACATTCATATGCCAAGTGTGTGAGGAAACCCTTGCTCATGGTGTGGATTCCCTTGAGCAGCTGACTGGAATAAGGATGCTTCGACATCTCACCATGACTACTGACTATCACATACTGATTGCCAATTACATGTCTGGGTTTCTCTCCTTGTTAACCACGGGCAACGCAAGAACAAAGTTCCATGTACTGAAAATGCTGTTGAATTTGTCTGAAAATCCTATGGTGGCAAAAAAACTATTCAGTGCCAAAGCTCTGTCAATATTTGTGGGTCTCTTTAACATAGAAGAGACAAATGATAACATTCAGATTATTATTAAAATGTTTCAAAATATCAGTAATATTGTAAAAAGTGGAACAATATCTTTAATTGATGAAGATTTCAGCCTTGAGCCGCTTATTTCTGCATTCCATGAATTTGAGGAGTTAGCTAAGCAACTGCAAATCCAAATAGACAATCAGAATGATCCTCAGGTGGGAGAACAAAGTTAGTATGGTTAACCACCTGCCGCTGATCAGCCTTATGTTCCCAAAGAGCCCCAAGTTGTGCTTTGGTGTTCACAGTCTGGTTTTATGTCATAACATTTTTAATGCTGATGTTAACTTGTAAAACTCTTGTTTTGGGCTGGATCATTTTGTGGATGCCAAATGAATATTAGAACTGAAAACACGTTTGTTAATATTTGTCTTGCTGTCCAGATTGCAATATTTTTTAGTGTTGAGCTTCTAATGAATTGAGTCACATGAGTAAGCTACCCTGCTATTTGTTGTTCAAACATGTGGTTCTCTACTTGAATCTGTGTTTTCAATAAAGTTCTATGTTAAAATTAGCATAAACGACCCTTCTTCACTTTAAAAACCAGGTGCAAATACATTGTGCACACTTATAAGCATAGGTAATTTAGTAGTACAAACACATGCTTATTAGAAAAATCCCATTCTTGGATTTTAAGAAGGGGGAGATTATTGTGGGTCACAGTACTTAATAAGTGCTTCAGAGAAGAGGAACTCACTTAAATTGGAAGGATAGGGTAAGACAAGTCACTTTTGAGAGTGAGCCATGGTTGTATGAAGAAAAGTGTGTAAATGGAAAATATGTTCCAGCAGCTTGAATATACTCAGCATGCCTGAAGTAGATGAGAGGAGTTTAGTGAGTGATGCATTTAGAAAAATGGGATGAAGTCAGTTTGGGGAAATTAAGTAAGCCAAATCCGCACATTTACAATTCAAAGTACAGTTGTTGCTTCAATACCATCTAAAAGGTAAAAGCAAAAGACTCCAATGAAATGGGCTCAGGGATAGTATTTCCTTTATGATCCTAGTCCAGAGAAGTGTTAGGGAATTATGGAACCATTGAAATAATTATGTGTGGATTGATTTATTGATAAGAAATGACAATGATTTTCTGTGAAATAGAAAAGAATGGAGTCATCTATGGAAAAGTAGGTCCTATTTTTAAAATGTGTGTACAAATAAAATTTCTATGCAACTTCAATTTGACCTAAGCAATTTCATATATTTCACAGTTTGGAATAAAATATACCATGTTAAATCTTAAGCATTGGGGAAATAGAAAAATTAATAAAACAAATTAATATACTTACATCTAGTGTGAATTATATGTAGCTATGCTAAAAATATATATAGTTAAAAATGATTTTTAGAAATCATTCAGAAAGTAAGTAGATAAGATTTTAGCTAGCTTAAAATGTTTTAAGGAAAAAAATGACCAATTTTTAAAGAAAAAAATGCTAATTCTTTATCAGGCTGTTGAGGTATAAAAATGTCAACTTTCACATGATTATTACGTTTAAACAATCACAACATTTCCTTTTTAGGTGACAACAAAGTTCTGGAACTAGGCAGTGATGGTGGTTGTACAACATTGAGAATGTACTCAATGTCACTAAATTGTGCACTTTAAAATGGTTGAAATGGTACGTTTTATGTGTTTTTTGCCACAATAAAAAACAAACATCACATTTTACCTTCAGGTGGGTGAATTTTAAAAGTCAGGACTATAGTTGGTTTGAAGTGTAATCCATACTTGTGGGAAACATCGAATGTTTTGTTTTTAGACATGCTGAAATGTTTTTTTGATCTGAGATTACTATAAATTTTCAAAAAGATAAAATTATGACTTGTTCATTAAAATGAACCTGAAGGATTTCAAGAACTGCTGAGATGAAGAAAATGGTTCATTTTCTTGTGAAGGAAATGTGTGTATAAAATATGCATAATATAAAAATATAAACAATATATGTCAAATTTCATATACACATTGGAAATTCATAAGTATTAGAATAACATTGATGACTTAAATAAAAGCTAGTAATAACTTAGAGTGCAGTAAGTCATAGCATCTAATATCTACCACTGGACAAACCTTTTATATAGCTAAACGGTAAGCCTTTTGTATATTTAACAAAATATCTAGTAGCCTCTTCAAAAACTGAAAAATAGCTCAATCAACATAAAGTTAAGTTAGGTGCTGCACAAAAATAATATCCAATAATACAGCATGATTTTTCCCTCTCGATTCTACTATGTAAAGGTTAATGAAAGTAGGATGAGGTGGCAGTTTAACTTCTCTTTACAAGCCACAGATGTTAACAGGGATCATCATCCTGGTAGAAAATGGAGTTTGAATGTTGGTTTTGTTTATTGATACTTTCCAAGATAGAACTCTGAGGGGGGAATGCATGTGTCTGTGTGTTTTCATATGTATCCCAAACATTATACAAAATACTAAAAATCAGTTCATGTCCAAAATCCTCAGGTCAGTTCCTTGGCAGCTGAGTGCTCCTACAGAACAAGGCCCAAGCCTAGGGCTGGAAGCTTTGATTCCTAATCTAGCTTGCCTTCCAGCTCTCTGTCTTCACCAGGGTTGGGAGTGTCAGGTTCTAGCAAGCAGCTGCAGAGTTGCCACAGACAAGCTCACTGTGGGATCATGTTGGGCTGCTGATGGTGGGTCATGTGACCAGACTGTCTTGGGCTGGCAGAAAGGCACATTTACTTGCATGGAAAAGAGACAGGAAAGATAAGCCCTGGTAATTGAGACAGGTGGGACAAGTGCCTGAACATTAAAGTGGGTAGATGGGTGGGGGTATCTCTGCATGCTGCATTTGCTTAAAATTCAGTTTTTCAGGTAACCATAGTTACAGCATTGGTTGGTAGAGGAAACAATCCCTCAGCCAATGATAACCATCTTAGCCAGGTCTGTGTTTTGTCCAGGAGCTCAAAAAGCTGGGAGTCTTCCCGAAAGAAGCATTCTTGCAGAGAAGCAAAAGTTGCTATTGAAGGAGGTGGGTGCCTGGAAATGGCATCCATGAGAGGTGGTGGCTGAGACTAGATACTGGTGCTTGACAGTGCCTCAGACACTTCTCCCTCCTGCCTCTGAACACCCTCTGTCTCCATCCCTAGGCTTCCACCCAATGCTGTTTCCCTGTGTGGGTGGGAAATGTGAGCATATGAACTGAGTTGGTTCTCAGGAGCCTAGAGAAAGGAAACAGTGAAGTGACAATTTGTGAACACCTGTGGAGCTGGATCAGGAAAGGCCAGGGGTGAGAATGTGAACCATGGGCTAAGCTACCACTCTTCCTCCCACCATGTCAGCACTTACTTTCTACTGTCTGTCTGTCTTCCTTAATGACAGTATCCAGGCAGTGGAGATGGCTGAGATCAGCTCAATTGGAAGAGGGTCGGGGTACACATCTGCCTTTTGCTCCAGGGTTTCAGCAGACTAGGGAAGCAAGGAGGGAATGAATCTCAACCAGCAGTATCTAGGGAAGAGGATAGGTGACATAGACTCAAAAGGAAGAAATCTGGATGCTTTGGGCTTTTCATATAGGATTTCTTATTGGCATGTTCCAAGTTTTTCACCTCCTCTTGATATTCAAGAAATTGCTTGAATATCAGTCCCATGCAGCAACTCTCCCATTTAGGAACACAAAATTGCTGATTCATCTGAGGCTTCCTTTCCCTGCTCTCCTGGGTCTGAAAGGGTGGTCTTTCTGGATCCATCTATAGAAACTACTTCATGGATAATCTCATGGGTTCCTGTATACTTATCCTTTGTTCCCTTCCTATGTTTTGTTTTCTTCTCACTTCTTAGGACTTGTTCCTCTGGTCCCATCCTAGGTATCAGCTGCTACCTTGTCCTCTTTCTGAATATTCGCCCTTATGCATCCACTGGGTACCAAATAAAAGAAAACTGCTTTTCTGTTAACAAAACTTCTGACACAAAATGTGTGAGGTTTTTTTTTCACACCAAGAAATTCTCCCTACAATTTAATTCAATTTTGACACTACCTAGAGTTAGTGCAGACCCTACAGGTAAGGGACTCAGTTTCCCATGATAGGCCCCCCTCCCCCGCACACACACACATGCACTTTAGATGACAATCACAAGTAGGGAATATTCAGATGACTGACATAGATCTGATTTGCCTTCTAATCAAAGTTCCCTCAACCCTCCTCATGTTCAATAGTTTGCTACAAAGGCTCACAGAAGTCAAGGAAATGCTTTACTTGATGGTTTATTATAAAGGATATAGTAGAAATAAGTCCAAGACATTTATTGTACAGCTTGGTGATTACAGTTACTATAGTATAGTATATTGTATTCTTTTTGTTGGCAGTACTGGTTTGAACTCAGAGCCTTGCACTTGCTAGGAAGCACTCTGCCACTTGAGCCACTCCACCAGCCCTAATATATTTTATTCTTGAAAAACACAAAGTGGAGTGAATATTAAATGTCCTCATCACAAAAATAACAACTATATGAGGAGGTAATACATTTGTTAATTAGCTAGATCAAGCCATTCCACCATGTATATACACTTCAAAACATTGTACATGATAAATGCACACAACTTATCTGTCAATTTTTTAAAAAGAGGACAGAAAATTGAATCTAGAGCCCCCCATTTCTCTCCATATAAAAAAAATTGATTCAAAATCAATTGAAGACCTAAGTGTAATACATGGAACTGCCAGAAGAAAGCATAAAGGAAACACTTCAATAAATTAATACAGGCAATTTTTTGGATAATTCCCATAAAAGCAGAGGCAACAAAAGCAAAAATAGATGAACAGAGTATATTAAGTTAAATGGCTTCAGCATAGCAAGGGAAACAACAGGATGAAGACAACCTACAACATGGGAGAAAATATTTGCAAACTATATATCTGAGAAAAAGTTAATATCCAAAATATGTAAGGAACATAAGCAATACAACAGCAAACCAATGATTTAAATTGGGCAATAGTCATGAAAAGAAGACATATGGAGCTGAGGATGTATTTCAGTGGTACAGCACTGGCCTAGCATGTGCAAGGCCCTGGGTTTGATCCCCAGCAATCTCCCCCCAACAAAGACAAATGGCTTACACGTATATGAAAAAAATGTCTGATACCATTAATCACCAAGGAAGTACAAAACAAAATCACAATGAGATACCACCTCACTCTACTCAGAATGGCTATTACCAAAAAGACGGAAGATAACAAGTGTCAGGAGGATGTAGGGAAAATGGAATCTTTGCATGCTATTGGTGGAAATGTAAATTAGACAGACATTATGGAAAACAGTATTTTCCACAGTATTCCTCAAAAAAATTAGAGAAGTATCATATGATCCAGGATTCCAGTTCCTAGATATGCATCC